ATTATTAAACTACGTTACATTAAATAATTTGAGAGTTGAATAATCTAAATCTATAACTGATTTTTCAAGCCTTTTCAATAAAATTGTTTCTGGTGAGGGTATTAAACACATCTCATAATCACAACTACATCCATACTCTTACACCCTAGAGATTTAGGTGGGTGTTAGTTGATCCTGATACTCTCACATCCAACTCACGCCCACATCTACACACGTCAAATATCATATAACTTCATGACATTGTCGCCCAAATTATTTTATTATCCTGTATTAAATCGATTGAAATCAACACTTGTAATATAAAGATTCAAAGTTTCGATCTTATTTTTGTATACTTTATTGGTTTCTGTGAACAAAATTTAAAAAAAATTGATTCTTGAATAAATGTAAATAAAATTATATTACGAAAAATTAAGGACAACTAATAAAAAGGAAATGAATTATATTTGCTTATTTTTTGTTCTTATTTTTCTTTATTTTCAAACGTTTTTCAATTCCCAACAGCCAACAACTAGCATTAACTATATAACGTGCTGTTCCCGCAGAATCCCAATTGATGTACAGTTTGGTAAAACCGCAATCTAAACACAACCGTCCTTCTGTCGATGTTGACGGTGGATCATATAAGGCGATACTAGTATTACCATCAGTGGCTGTTGCTATTGGAACGAATACTGTACGACTTGCTGGTGTTGAATAGACTGGATGACATATTGTGATACCTTCAAATAAATTTTCTATTCCAGTAAAAATAAAATGTTGACCGAAATTTCCAGTTTGCTGATGACCATTCTCTTTGTATGTCATTGTTTTTCCACCATAGTAATTGCCATCTACAGTTATACCGAATTTTGTTCTAAGAAACTCGGATGCATGGCATACATAAGGTGTATTATCAGCAAATAAAAATATAGCTCCACCAGATGAATGATATTTTGTTAGAGCTGAAATAAAGTTAGTATTTTGAATTTGATTCGTACTTATAATCCAAGCGATTTCATAACGATTTGAAGCAAGTTCTGTTATACATTCATTCTCAGTTTTTACATGTTTTACTTGAAACCCTTTGACGCTTAATGCATCAACCACTATCTTCATGGCCGCGTCATTGAATTGTGCGTCAGCATAAAATTGTGCAATCAAAATACTAAAATTCTTATATGCACCATCTCGACCCAAATCATAAGTTCTTCCTATTGGATTACCATATTGATCATAACTACCAGCATTAGTAATCTTACTTTTACCTGCGTCATCATTGTAAAAACTTGTTACCAAATCCTCATCATCAGATTCTTCATCTTCGGGTACCCATACAAAGGAACGGTGTTGTTGTGATGTATAAGAAGAATCATTTGTATGCGATTGTGCTTGAAATCTAGTCTGCTTGTTAGTGCGGATCGATTGAGATGAATGAGATTTATGCTGTTGAACTAAATTTTGAGAATTACTTAGTTGCAAAGTATTTTTTGATTTTGACGCATCTAAAATTAGAAGAAGTTTCACTTCTGTGTAAGGATATTTTGTAAACTATTACCTTTCGAAGTATTTTGAATCAATGATGGTCGATTGATTTGTTCACCATGGAAAAACGTCTTTCGATGTTCAAATGATGAATTTCGGCATTGTCTATGGTCTCGACAAGGATATAAATAATCAGGTAAGCCAGTATGTCGATAAGAACAACGATGCTGAGGATCATTCAGTCTGCGACAATTTTTATCGTAATCACACATGGACACATCATGTTTCCCATGAGTAAATTGTATACAATGAGGTGTATTACTGATATATCGGCATAATTCGGAGAAACGGCAGGGATGTGAATATTGTTGATTATGAGTTAGAGATTTTTCTTGGGAATATTGATCAAGACAATAAATTGAATCTTTGCATAGTGGGAGATGTTTCGTTGGTTGATTATCTTGTAATTGATTATCATCATCGTCGATTCTTTGTTCTCCATTTCCATGAAATACGCGATCGATAATTTGTTTAATCGGTTTTATTATACGTGATACGAATGTACCATCGTTGTTATTTCCAGTATCTGCAGAGTCAGTATTATTGATATGCGGGGCGAACTGTTTGTCAAATTGCGGATGAGCTCCAGGGATCAGTTCATGACTAATAACTAAATTTCGTATTGAAATACTTTGACGACCTGCACTCACATGAATATAATCAAGTGAAGTTAAATCTAATTCATTTCGATCAAATGTACACTTTAATATTGTACGATTATAAATACCACTGATACCTGCATTCATTAATGATACTTGTCCTGTTTGTGGCTTTAATTTTAAGCAATATAGAATATAATCATCAGCATTACAACCCTTATGAAATGTATTTGATCCAACTTTAAAATGTTGTCCTTCAAGAACAGTTTCATGTGATGACGGAGGTCGATGACTTATATATGAATGACGTTCATTATAATTAAGATCACCGCTAACACTTGTAGCAAATGATGCAACGTAACATGTTAAATAAACAAGATTATGTTGAATTTTCTTAGATTCAATCATTTCATTAGTTAATATTACCATAAAATCACCTCGTAGTGCTTTCCAATAAATGTAGATACCTTCATTAGATTTGGAATTATTATAAGATTGCGTAATGGTCAAAGAATTAGTAACACAAGTTTCAAAATGTGATGCAGGTACAGTTATTGTCATTCCATATGATGATAACAGCCGAGAATTTGACAAAGTTGCATTTTGTTCTTGTTGTCTTTTGATGAATTTCAATATTTGTTCAGCCACATAACTTTCATATTCTTCTCGTGAATTATCTGGTTTACCGAATTTCGTCGGATCAATAGTAAGATCTACTTCATGTGTTGTTACTTTTAGATTATGCGGAAATAACTCGCGAGCATTTTTTTGAGCTTCTACTGGTAGTAAATCAAAAACATTTTTCGGCATGAAAATATATTCGATATAACTTAAAGGTATCAGCTGTGGTAGATGTGCTTCAATTACTTGATGGCCATCCTTGAATTCCCAACGGCGTATAACACTAGCAAGATCAACCTGCATCGTTTGTTTTTGTAATCCAGTGATAGCCATGAGTTCTAAAGCAGTGACATAATCATAGCCAGGTATTGAACAATGAAGTTTTGTTGAATGGAATTGTTTGACATGACTTTCAGATGAACCTGGATCTTTGATCCATGGACGACATTGATAAGTTTTCTCTGTATACATAGTAGCTGCTTGCATCGTAAAATTTGAGTCAGGATGTAACATAACATCACGTTTAAAGATAATAACAATATCACCATAATACTGAGCTGAATGCGGACCAAGAATACCGAATACTTGTTGATTGGTGCCAAATTCGAGATCACCCTTAAACCCAATACCTGTCTTCGTAGAATGTAGTTTAATGGATGCTTGAGCTACCTGACTGGCACAAAGACGAATATCGTCTAAATCAGATTTTTGAAGTATCAGTTTCAGATTTTGTTCTTTTGAATGAATAAGATATTGTAACGATTCGGGATTATTGCCTTCTGTTGTTTGCTTTTTGCCGTCACTTATGCCATTATTAAATTCAGTACGAACAAGTGCTTCAATAAATTCTCGAGCGTCTTTTTGAAGCGAAGGAGCTTGACTAGCAAGTAGTTTTCGTATACGTTTATGTTGATCGACTGTATCAGCAACAAATGTTGCATCTTTCAATCTTTCCATATGAGATCGACTCATAACATGACCATGTACAAGAATTGATTCAAAAATAGCTGCTGAACATCGATGAATAGGTTGAAGAGCACCAATCCATTCTAATAAATTCTGTGGAACAGAAACTGTTTCCCATTCTTTATTATATGTATTTTGAACATAATCCCGAATCATTTTTGTCATTTTAATTTGATTTTGAACAAAATTTATTTGTTTATTTAATGCAAAATATTGTGCTACACCCAAATAATCTAATGTGTAATTATGTCGATATTTAATGATATGATCAGATCTTGTACGATCACGGCATTCTGATCCAGGATAACGGCATAACAAACGAATATCTCGTATATTGAAATGACTAAATGAGTCAAGATGATCTTCTTGCATTATTTGAGTACAGGAATTATTTGCATCTGGACACATATATCGAGCTATATGAATTACCATTGATAAATGTTCTTCACTTCTATCATTACATAGACGACCCCAAGGACAAATATGAGAATAACGATAGCAATGTCTTTTAATTTCATTCATTTCATTTTGATTTGATAAATTGCTTTGTTCATTACTTGGTTGTAGAAATTTAGCAAATGTTTTACAAGAAAAAGGTGTGTATGGGCATGGGGTGTTGAATGGATGTTGTTCATCAGTAATATGTTTTTGATCATTAAAACGAATACAGGTACCACCAAATTCACATGAACGTTGACAATGACGAAAGTTAGCCAAATGTAGTTCTTTCTCTGTATATTTAAGATCACAGTCAATACCGTTTTTACATAATGGTACATGCCGATAGAGATTTAAATGATCGGTCCTCATTTTGGTACAATGACCTCCATCAGGACAATATTCAGGATGATCAAAATCAGCCAAATGACGAGCATTAGAAGTAAGACATTGACCACCATCACGACATTTTTGTCGATGAATAAACATTCGACAATGTACATCATCCGTATTTTCAGTACATTCAGCGCCAAGTGGGCATAGTGAAGGATGAGAAAATTCTTGGCAATGATTTTCATCGTTTAATTTGTCACAATATGCAGCTTGCTCACAAGGTTGTACATTACCAATGATAAATTCATCGATCGTTGCGATGTTGTTATTTGCTTTTGAACGGACCAAACGATATGGTCCTATTGACATTCCAATAGATTGAACACTAGGTGGATGTGCAACAAAGTTATCCAGAACTTGTTGGAATGGAATAAAATTACCATTGGGATTTAAACGTTGACCTGTATTATGATCGTCAATGACTGAAAAAACTATTTCTTTGAAAAAGCCAGCATATTGAAGAATGACTGATTTAAATATTAAAGCAATATGTTCGGGCCTACAAATAGATAAAAGTAAATGAAACATAATTAATTACCAATTTTTGCTTTCTCTAGTCATATCTAACAGACTCTAGACAAGCCTTTATATCTCTTCCAAACAGTCTATCTGATGTATTTATAGGCATTTATTGTCTCTATTGTATTGATTAAATTAATAAAAAAACACTTACGGATTTTTGAACGCACCACAGCCCAAAGCAGACAACACTAATGAATCATGTCGATTTTTAAAAGCAATGGCAAATAATGTTTCAATTTTTTTACGAGTTCTTAGATCATGTTTCGCTGTGAGTCGCTGTTTATTTTTCTGTATTGGTGGATCACGATATCCAGCAACTGCTATTGCGCATACATCATAAAGTGGTCGCTGCAAATATGGATAACCTTGATCTTCAGTACCACGAAATACTATTATTCCTGATGTATAAATTGCTCCGTAATCGTCTATGGGATATAATGATTCTTGAGTATTCATTGATATTACTTGTCCTGTAGACGAGCAATAACTTCTTTTGTTCTTACTGGATTGACCTTGTTCAGTATCCATATTGTAATCAAGACTCATGTAATAGTTTGAACGACGAAAAAGGTTTTCTTCTTGAGCACCATCACCTTTTCGATAACCTCCACCAGGTGTTGTTGCATTAGCCATATTAAGAAGAAGTGGTTTCATACCAGATGAAGCAAGTGTATTATATGAAATGAGACAATCTTCGTTTAATACCCGTACATGAGTAGAATTAAATGGTGGTGTTGCCGTCTGGTTCAATTTTGAAGATGATATTATTTTTGATTGAGAATTGTATAAAACGGTATCAAGAGGTGATGGAGGTTTAATAAAAACTTCTGTTTTTGTTGTAGAATCTTCCAGAGTGTATTTACCATTACGTAAAGCTGCCATTGTATTTAACATAACTGTAACACGAAGCATCCGTCTGATAAAATCATTTCGACGACGTTCATGTTGATCTATTATTTGTTCGGATTCTCTTTTATTTTGTATGAATTGATCAAGCCAAATTTTTGAATTCCATTTATAATGAAATATTGGATGGCGAGAATCAAATTCTGCAATATCGGGGTTATGCTTTTCCATTCGTGTACCATACCAATTTTCAATAGTAATCTCACTATTATCAGGATCTTCTAAAGTAGTATATGGAATTATACGTAACGTGAATCGATCACCGCTCGCTGTCACTTCGAAAGCACCAATGTTTAAACATTCATCATAGATACGTTTGTCATTTACTTCCACAATAAGATGTTCACCAATTAATTTAGCAACATCCTCTTCAATAGACTTTTTGAAAATTGGATGATTAAAAATTAGTTGAAGAGGAAAATCAAATGGTATTGATTTAATAATAAGTTTACTAGCTATATGAGCTACTTTGAATATTAATTGACCATTTATGTTAATAAATTTCATTGAGAGCCAATTGTGTAAAGAATTTGAAGCAAAAATAATGACATTAGATGATTCTTCATTGTATTGAATATAGAACTGAGATTTTAAATTTTTGATATTGGATGGAAGTGATTGTATTTGTTGAAGAAGAGTATTAGCTTGTTCCTGACACATATCTTTATTTGTACGTGCGCGATCGGACATGTTAAGTTGTGATGCAATATAACAAAATAAATGATTATCATCTAATTTTGGTTGTGTACGAGGTAATTCTTCAAGATAACTACAATCAACATGAGTATAAATATGTGCAATATGATCTTCAATTGAAAAAACTTGAAATTTCGCAACAGATTGTAATTCTTCTATTGAAAATGATATCACTTGGATAATATTTGGAAATTGTATTGATAATGTTTGAAATTGAGGACGGTGAGGTGAAGGAAATAGAGTTATCCATCGTTCCGAAATTTTATCAATACTTGGTAAAGGTTTCCTTATTTCCAAAACAATATAACATGTTACTTCAAGTTGTTCGGCACATGTTACTGTAATATTATCGTTTAGAAATAATATAAGACGTTGTAAATTATTAACTAAATAATCTTTTTCTTTGTTGTTTTCTAGATAGACAATTCCAACACCTAAATCTGAAAAACATTCGACTTTTGAAACTTCAATGTGATGAACAGTTTTTAAACGTGAACGAATGGCTTGTTCAAGTTCAGTGTTGGTTTTGTCTCCTGGTAAATCTGGAATATACACGATTGATGATGCAGAATTTTCGTTGTCAACTATTGTTGTTTCTGTTGGACGATAGACATGTGTGATAACTATAATTAAGAGAAAACTTTTAGAATACAGTAAAATCTTCCACAGTGAACACTTTTGACCGGTTTCAATCGAGTTCACAATTGAGAAGTTTTACTGTAGTTCAATATCAATATAGAATACTTACTTGGCTTGATGGTTTGTGGTTTCTGTTTTGCAACAGCAGATGGATATCGGTCATTTTCAGGATATGGCAGTTGTGACTTTGGTGCATCTTAATAGTTTTGCAATCGTTAGATAGTTTTTCAACTATACTAATAAAGCTGACTCATTTTAAGTGCTGTGCTAAATATTTCACCTTATCATTCATTTTTATTTATGTCATTTCTGAAAAATGCCTCTCTCTTCCTTTGTTTTACTGGCTGAATTTTGAATTTATACTTCACAAATATTAAACTACAATATGATAATCATTTTAAACTCTAAACTTTCCAAAATAGTTCACTCCTATTTTTTAATTAAACAATCAAATTGTAAATTTGTTAAAATAAAAACAATAAGTGAAGGTGGATATTACCTGGTCTTGCGTATGGATTATTATTGTTATATATAACGGATTCTTTTTTAAACTCAGACGATGGTGGTGAAACTGCGAAAGGCCGGCGACCTTGTTGACAATAGACACATCGTTCATAATCGCTTAAATTGTTTGGATAGTCGCATATCCCACAGCACCATTCTGTTGGATGCAATTCGATTTCCTCAGTATCCATCCGTGTTAGATCAATTATATTAGGCGGATTTGAAGAATAATCTCGTAACGTTAATGGTGAATTATTTCGAACTTCTGGAATGGATAACGATGAAAATTTCGAACGCAAATATTCTTCACAAAGTGTATTGCTTGATGGATCTTGTGTATTGCAAAAGGACGATATACACTTTGGTGTAATTCGTAATTTTTCTTCAAAAGGTTTTCTTGTATCATCAGTTGCTTTTATTTTTACTGGTAGGGGACGCACACCTTGCTCACACATCAGACATACGATATCGTTAATACAATTTTTAAAAGTGCAAACTAGACATTCCCAACTAGATTCATCATCCTATATCATTAAGAAGAGATAAACATAAAATTTTATGAATTATTTTCATATTATACCTGATTTGATAAAGGCGTCTTTTTTGACTTTTCTAATTCATCAGAATAACCAGTAAATATATTGCCAAATGACTGAACAGATTGTCGACAGATCGGACATTTATTATTATTCTTATTGGCATTCTCGGAAATACATTTCACATGAAACATATGTTTACAGCTTGTTGTCAAAAGATCTCTTCCGTCATGGAGAGAACCTAGACATATCATGCAAATATCAGCTTCAGCCATTTTCTTCGAAACTGAAAATAGAAAATGTAAACGTATTTATACATTAAACTCGAGCTCTGTTCTATGGTAATGATATGAATTTGATATAACTCCTCAGAGAAGAAAAGAGGAT